TTGTAAAGTATTACTTGATTTATCCAAAATAGGAAAATTGAAGTTCTTTTTTCTCCATTTTTATTGTATATTTTTTTATCATTCTAATTTGATTAACTTATTTATTAAGCAAAGTATGTGAGTTTCATGTGATCACTTTTAAAAAATAAATCCAACAAAAATGAAATTCAAACAAAAACATTTACAATTTTTTTTCTTATTTTTAAATTATAATCTCATTTATAAAAAAATAAAAATAAAAATACACTGAGTCCTTTATCATAACTTATGCATGACTACTTCTATTACCTATAAGCTTAGCACCTTTTATTTTCTATTGTTGCGCCTGAAGCAATAATCACAACAATACAGAAGCAATAGACAAAATAATCAATAATCAAATACGCAGGAAAAATAAAGCACACCAAGATTTACGTGGAAAACCCTCCAGTGTAGAGGGAAAAAACCACGGGCCATCAGAAAAATCTTCACTATCAAATAATAGTTATACAAAGTTCTTCTCTAGCTAAAACTAGAGCTAATCAACAACTAGAGAAACAATTGGAGAAATCTCACCAAATAAGTGACTCAACAAATACACCATGGATTTGTTCCTAGAGAGCTTCAAACCCGATCTTCACCGTTCAGAATGTAGAACTCTGAATCATAAACCTCCTGACAAGGTTCTAACTCAATCGGACCACGGATCGACTTCCGTTCAACCAACTCTCCCTTCTCTTTTTTCTCTCTCTACTTTTCCTGGCTTTTCTTCTTTCTCTGCTTAGTTTTCGACGCACCTAAAACAACCCCACTTCTTTTTTATTAAGTAGCTAGGGCTCTGTGTAAAATAAAAGATCAAGGTCCATGGCCTTTACTTGGTCCAAAACCACTTACATGGGATTGGATCCCATTTTCCTAACAATCTCCCCTCCAGCCCCATTAGGAGGAGATTCATCACCATAGCAGTTTCATTGGAACTTACCTTGGCCAGGGAACTCATTCCGATCAAGTTACTGCAAAGCTCAAGCTTTTCCCTGGGAAGTATAGCAAGATCATAAGTACCATTCTTTCGCAATGACTCCATCTCTTCTTTCATTGCTTTTAACCAGTGCTCTCTATCCGGAGTAGCCTTCACATCTTGAAAGCTTTTTGGCTCCCATTCACTGGTAACTAAAATAAAATCTGAACTTGGATACCTGGTAGATGACCTGCGCTCTATAGTAGATCTCCTGGGCTGAGGCTCTACATCACTTGATGCCAAAGGTAGCTTCCCCTGCTCAACACTCTCAGGTAGAGAGAATTGCTCCCCCTGCTCAAAACCAATAGCATCTAGCTCATCACCAACTGTGGCTGGCTCATTCATATCCTCAAGTTCTGTTTCTTGCTCATTTTCACCATCTGTGGCTCTTTCTTGTGAAATCCCTGTCGTTGTTGAAACATCACACTCAACAGTAACCTGTGTAGTTTTCTCATTTTTTTCAAAGTCTGCTATGGTTTTTTTTTCATGAAAGATCACATCCCTGCTTCTGACTGTCTTTCTCTTTACTGGATCCCATATCTTGTAGCCAAATTCCTCATCACCATATCCTACAAACACACACTGTGTAACTTTACTGTCAAGCTTTGATCTCTGCTCTTTCGGCACATGCATGAATGCTTTACACCCAAAAACTTTCAAGTGAGAGTATGAAGTATCTTTCCCTGTCCACACTCTTTCTGGAATGTCAAAGCCCAAAGGAACTGATGGTGACCTGTTAAGTAAATAACAAGTTGTGTTGACTGCTTCACCCCAGAATGGCTTTGGTAATTTTGCCATCCTCAACATACATCTGACTTTTTCCACAATGGTGCGATTCATTCTTTCAACTATATCATTATGCTGCGGTGTTTCAGGTTCTGTCCTCTCATGCCTGATCCCATGCTTTGAGCAATACTCTTCAAAGCCTTTAGATGTGTATTCCCCACCATTATCAGTTCGAATACACTTCAAGGGTAATCCTGTCATCCTTTCAACCATAGCATGAAATTTTTAAAAATACTGCAGTACCTGACTTTTGTATTTCAACATATACACCCAAGTCTTACGTGAAGCATCATCAATAAAAGTAACAAAATATCTGCTACCACCTAATGACTCAACCTCAATGGGACCACATACGTCAAAATAAATTAATTCCAATCTATTTTCTTTTCTCTGAGAACTTTTACGAAAAGAAACTCTATGACGCTTATCAAACAAACAATAATCACATGAATCGAGAGACATACCTTTGGTCAAGGGAATGAGAGAGTGCCTTGCCAAAACCTGTAACCCTTTTTCACTCATGTGTGCCAGCCTCCTGTGCCACAAGTTTGCTGAAGCATCATTTTCAACGGTATTTACCTAGTTATCGTTCAATTGCATCCATGTCTTATACATTGTGCAGCATAGTTTTCCCCTTGCAACTACCATAGATCCTTTGAGAAGCTTTCATTGTCCATTCTTTTGTCGGCTTTCATATCCCTCCTTATCAAGGACATTAATAGCAAGTAAGTTAATTCTCATATCTGGAATGTGTCTGACATCCTTCAAAGTCAACATGCAGCCTGTACTAGTTTATACAACAATATCACCAATCCTAACAATCTGCGACACACTCTTGTTTCCCATCTTGGTACAACCAAAGTCTCCTGCTTTGTAAGTTGTAAACAACTCTCTCTTAGGAACACAATGATATGCCGCTCCTGTGTCAACTATCCACTCAATGTCGGGATCACTAACATGATTACAATCACCATGTGTACAAATCAAAGTAACTGAATCACTATCTGAATTCACTGCTGCAACATTGCTATCATCTGAACTCTTGCCTTTCTCATCTTTTCGCTCTTGCTTCAAGATTTTACAGTTTCGTTTTATATGACCTGCCTTACCACAATGGAAATACTTCACTTTACCTCTAGACTTGGATCTATGTTTAGACTTACCACGGCCTTTTGAGTCCTGACCTCTGTCGATGTTTCTACCCCTGTTCTCTGTGACTAGAGCTTGATTCCCAGGGTCTACATCTTTTTGCCTTGCTTCTTCATTAAGCATACTGTCCTTTACCATCTCCAATGTCACCTTATAATCAGGAGCTGAATTAAGAACAGTCACAACTAGAGTATTCCAACTGTCTGGCAATGAACCCAAAAGAAATAACGCCTTCATTTCATCATCCATCTTAAGCTCCATAGTAGTCATCCGATTAAATATATCTTGAAAATCACTCAAGTGCTCTGTAACAGATCGTCCATCCCTGTACTGTAAAGTTACAATCTTTTTAACAAGCATAACTTTATTCATACCTGTTTTTCTCTCATACAATCCTGTCAATTTTTCCCAAACAATGTGAGCATCTGATTTCTGCGCTACATGATGGAACATGCTGATATCAACCTATTTTTTGATTGTAGCCAGCGTTTTTCTACCTAGCTTCTTCCAGCTTTCATCTTTCATATCTGCTGGTTTAGCCGAATCACCCAATACTGGCTCATACAAATCTTTGCAGTATAGATGATCCTCCATCATAGGCTTCCAAATTGAATAATTCGATGCTGTCAATTTTATCATGGAACCTGTATCACCCTCCATGATCTCAAACAGAATTTACTTCTATCTTGAGTTACTTCTGTATCGATGTCTCAAAATAAACTTCGCTCTGATACCACTTGTTGCGCTTGAAGTAATAATCACAACAATACAGAAGCAATAGACAACAATCAATAATCAAATACGCAAGAAAAATAAAGCACACTAAAATTTACGTGAAAAACCCTCCAGTGTAGAGGGAAAAAAATCACGGGCCACCAGAAAAATCTTTACTATCAAATAATAGTTATACAAAGTTCTTATTTAGCTAAAACTAGAGCTAATCAACAACTAGAGAAACAATTGGAGAAATCTCACCAAATAAGTGACTCAACAAATACACCCTAGATTTGTTCCTAGAGAGCTTCAAACCCGATCTTCACCATTCAGAATGTAGAACTCTGAATCATAAACCTCCTGACAAGGTTCTAACTCAATCGGACCACAGATCGACTTCCGTTCAACCAACTCTCCCTTCTCATTTTTAACTCTCCCTTCTCTTTTTCTCTCTCTGCTTTTCCTGGCTTTTCTTCTTTCTCTGCTTGGTTTTTGACACACTTAAAACAACCCCACCTCTTTTTTATTAAGTAGCTAGGGCTCTGTGTAAAATAAAAATCAAGGCCCATGGCCTTTACTTGATCCAAAACCACTTACATGGGACTGAACCCCATTTTCCTAACGTCTATTGCTTTATGGGCGACTTCTTGCAAGCCTGCAATCTTAATAAACGATATGTAAAAAATAATAATAATTAAAAATTTTTTGTTAAAGCTAGAAATATCAAGGATGAGCCATATAAATTTTAGTAGATTGATTATAATTATCAATATCTCTTAATTGCATGTTCAAATTATGAAATTCCATAAATATAAATGTTGGAAAACGATGAATTTAATTAGTTTGTTATAGGGATTTTTCCATATCTTATGTTATACTCGTCAAGCACAAATTTTATGAATTCATTAATGTTACGATTGGAAATATAAAATTTTGAAAATGAATTTAGTTTTTTTAATAACCAGGATTAAGATCAAATTGCCATTATACCATAATTCAATATAAAATTTTATCATTTTACTTTACTTCTAATAAATTTTATCACTATATATATTTTCAAATTGGTTAATTTTTAGACAAAAAATAACAAAATTAATTAGATTATTTATGAAATATGCAGTTAATGAAAGTAAATGTAATTGAACATATATATATATATATAGTGATAAATTTTAATAAAATCAAAATATAATGATAAATTTCAACATTAGCCAATAATATATAATAATTTTATCTTAATATCCGCTTTCTAATATATAACATCAATAATATGTCCAGTAACCAACAAACGCTAATATACAATAATCACAGCTCCTTATAAGAGATATCTAGATTCACAGTAATTAAATTTGAGAAAATTATAATATGGTTTCCATTCATTTGATCCAATAAAAAATATATTAAAGTAGCTCATAAAACAACAATAACAACACCAACAACATCAGAGATTAAAGCACACAACACACAAATTTGAGATGAATCCCAATTATTTTATACTTAGAATAGAAGTTAATTCAGCAACTCTCCTCAATTCCAAGGATCAGCACAAGTATTTGATATTTTTCTTAACAAAGAGACCAACAGAACTGCATGCATGCGACTCCAAGTAAAGGTAAGGCAGACGAAAACCAAGCTTTCACTTCCTTGCGATCGAATCTGCTACTGTGGCTTCCTTCCCTTTGAACCCTTGCAGAAAATAAAAAAGGAATTAATACCTCTAAGCTTGGGAAATGAAGCTAATGGGGATTCTAAGGAATCACAAAATTTGGAGTATTTTTTCAATCACCTCAAATTTTAAAAACAAATCATTTTATTAATTTAACTAATTGTCAATTAACGAATTCAAATGATAATTTAACCGAAACTACTACACAATCAAACAACTTTTATGTACACCAATTGGGTTCTACAAATTTTTTTTTTTTAACCGTACTCAAAGTTTTATTAAAATTAATCATATCGCCTTTTACAAACTTTAAAGAATATAACATATTTATACTAAAATTCTAACATCGACTTATAAATAAAATAATAATAATAATAATAATAGTAAATGAGATAAAATATAGTAAGATAAAATAAAATACTAATTATAGTAAATAAGATAAATAACAATAATAAAAATATAAAACTTGGTTTACTTCCAATATAATTGAAATCTCCTATGGTAACACCTATTTTAAATATAGTTGATGAGCCATGTCAGGGGTGATGGTTTCTAAGTTTATTGAGTCTAATAAGTGTCCCAAATCCAATCTATTTTAATTCTACAAAACAAGTGAAGACTGAAGAGGCAAAGCAAAATTATCATAAAAGCATAAAGGAATCTGCTGAAAATACTACTTTGCAAGGCATGCATTTTACATATACATTTTTTTTTTATGGCTAAAACACAAAACTTCGCCCTTTAATTAGATGGCTTAAACAGTTTGTAATGGACATTTTACACTTAAAACTGAAAAGCTAAGTCACGATGATAAAAAAAGAAAAGGAACACACCTTGTTCATCAGAATCGTCACTTTTTCCAGCAAACTTGAAATGGCTATGATCTTTAACTATCAGGAGCCATGGCATCTGTCTGAGTTTTATACAGTGCAATTGGCCTTTTACTACTGACTCTAGGAGGACCATTGAGGTAAGGAGGTTTTACACATTCCCAATGGACAACATAATTGCACGTTGACTCTGCACATTCAAGAGCCAAATCTTCGCAGGGTTTACAACATTTTTGACATGCAGGATAAAAATGAGTCTTCTTCACAAAAGTGAGAGGGTGTGGATGCAGATCATTTTCTTTGTAAATGCTTCCTGGTTTGATAAACCCATACCTTCCAAGAACACATTTAGGATGAGCAGAAGTCTCACATGTAGCACAATGATAAAACCAAAGATTCGGATCTCTTTCTTGTTCACAGATGTCACAATAATGATATTCTGAATAACCATTACCCTCATGATAAGTGAGTGCAAGTGGATGTTTATCACACTTGTGTCCATTTGTAAACGGTAGCCCTAAACAATTTGTACACAAAGAGAAATTGCAACGCTTACATCTAAATGGACTGCTCCCCGTAACACCGCAAGCACTGCACCATCCTTCATAATTACGATTAAAGAAGAGAGGGTGTTCATGTGCTTGATGTATGATCCTATAATCAACAATTGCACATCGAAGACAATAGTGATCATTACATGCATTACATTTATAGGAAAAGCCATTACACTCAAAACGACAAAATCTACATTTGAAAAGGTAGCCGACAGCAATGACGAGAGGTTGTAGACATCTATGAGACCAGAATTGCTTCTTCCTAGTTGGCAATTTACTACAAGTTTTGTGAAGAAAGAAATCACACTGGGATGAACAATAGTAAAATGAATTTGAGATGAGTAGCGTGCAACCATCACAACATTTATCATTCTCCATGATATTGTCGTCACTTAATATTAGGTTATGTGCATGGCTGAAATGTTTTATTTTTGCTATTTCTCCACTTTCATTTTTCTCGGTTACACAAGTGATGGGATTAATAGAACCATCATCATCATGAAGCTTCTCATCCTCATCTTTTGCCTCAATTACAACGTACCAACCTTCTCTCTCTGTCGCACATTTCACATGGGCAATAAAATTGCAATCCAAGCAACAATAACTCCCATACTCTATATCCACTTCAGTATCACAAAATTCGCAATCCCAATTTTTGAACTCATTCTCAGGAAGGAAATAGTTATGGAAAATGGGATGGTGATGTCGTGGGACTTTGATGATGGGTGGTAGTGAAATGCATTTTTTGTGGATTAGAAGGTCGCATGCAAAACATGTATAGGCAGCATAATCCCCCTTGAGGCCACATGCATCACAAATGAAGGAGTGTCGTTTCCAAGACAGGGTGAATGGGTGTTGGTGATTTTTTCCTTTAATGGTAAGCGGTGGTGAGGCACACTCAATATGAAGGGAAAACTTGCAAGATGAACAATAATAAACAAAAGTTTGGAGTTGGGTTTCTTGGCATATCTTGCAGGGAAGATTGTCACTATTAAATTGTAAAATAAGAGGATGTCTCCGGTGACAGGGGTGATTGATTTGAGGAGGTAACTCGGCACATTTAATATGAAGGGCAAACTCACAAGGCAAACAAAAATAAATAAATCCCTTGGTAGATGGCTCTTGTAGACATATTTTACAAGAGAAGCGTCCACCATTAAACTGTAAAATGAGAGGATGTTTGTTGTGAAGGGGGTGATTGATTTCATGAGGAAGCTCAGCACATTTCTTATGTAGGTGAAACCCAGAATCAAGAGAAAAGTATGCAGATTCTAATAATGGTTCCCAACACCCAAAACACTCGGCGGTTTCAAGTTGTTTTTGACCATCTTCAATGGAGATCAATGGATCTTTGATGGCCACGTGTTCAAGCTGTCCAAGTTTCTTTTCAGCAATGTTAAGGGTAAATAAACCACATTTGATATGAAAGTCTAAATTACAAGGACAATGATAAACAAAGAGCTCACACTTTTCGCCGCAGAAATCGCAACTTGCCCCCAGCTCGTATGGTGGCTTTGGTAAAAGAACAAGAGGATGATTGGGATGGAAAGGATGATGAATCTCTGAGGGTGCCTCAGCGCATTTTATGTGGAGGTAAAATCCACATTCAACACAACAAAAGGTTGGAGCCGACACCGCCTCCCCGCACATTGAGCAGTTTGCTTCTTTGATTTCATTGGACACCACCAACGGATGTGAATGCCCAAAATGTTGTAACTCCATCTTTTTTTTTTATTTTTTTCTCCCAACTCTCAAACTGGGTTTGTGTCTAAGATAGCAAAAAATGATGCTCAGGAGGCATTTAAAATCTCTATGGTTTTAATATTACTTGTTCTTTCCTTCTAATCCTGGTAAGAAACATCAAAAGAAGAGAATATTGCTTTATTATTATCTTTATTTTGTCTAATATAATAATATAAATTTAAAATAATTTGCAAGTTTAGAATTTAAGTTTGAATATAATTCTTTTAGTTTGTTTAGAGAGATAGCAACGAAGGCATAGATTATTTTTTTCTCAATATTTTAGAGGGTGTACTTTTCCTTTTCCAAAGATATCCCAATCTTTACCACCTAATTATTGCAGTTGATGCTACCTGTCCTTTCTTTAAGAATTAGATTTAATTATTTGCCAAGTTTAGAATCAAACTTTTATTAGTATATATATTATAATAGTTTAAATATTATATTAAACTAAATTTAAATAAAATTATGAATTATTTGGCCTTTATTTGGATTCTATCACACATTTGGTATAATGGGATCCATACTCATTTTTTAAGCCAGCTGCATTGCGTGGTGCATTTGGATGGAAATCCGTAAAAGAGTTGCGTCCACTACTCTTTCAAGCGAAGACTAGAAAGAAAAAAGTTAAATAATTTTAACTTTAAGGTGGTTAATTGGCCGATTAATTATCTTAGTGTAAAATTAAAATAGAAAATATTTTTTTAATTATAACATTTTATTCTCAATAATATTATTATATTTATATTTAAACATATATCCCAATCATAAATTTTTTAAATTTAACTATTACAATAATTAATTTCAATATCATTATTATTTTTAATTTAATAAAAATAAATTTTATCGCTTATCCGAATAAATACTTATACATGTTTTCAGGTGGGATTTGGATAAAAATTCTCAAGTCTGGCAGGGTTCGATTAGATTGGTGAGAATAGTTTATTATTAGATAATTATTTTTTAAAATTCAAATATTAATATAAAATATTTAATATTTAAATAATAAATTTAAAATACACTAACTTAAATGGGCTTGAATGAGTAGTTCGGGTTTTAGGTTTTAAAATACACTAATCCCTTAACATTTCTCATTGGAGTGGACTGAGCTTAAAGTAAAAAGATGTAAGCAAAGATTGATCATCAAGGCCGAGCTTATGGACCTAGCTGAAACCTATGGGTGTTAATGGGTTTTAGCATTAAAAATTTTAACTTTATCCAAATTCGAGAAATTTAATTTTTTCTTTAATAATTAAATTTTAAAAATAAAAGCAGAAATGGTTATGGCTTTAAATTTGTAACAGGCATGAGTATAAATATTAGTAATATAACACCTACCTAATATCTTATATATTTATATGTATTTAATAAATTAATTTTTATTTAATAATATAAATTTTATTTTTGATTAATTATAATTAATATTTTTATATTTAAAAAGTATATGTTTATAAAAAAAATTACATAAATTTACAAGATAAAAATAAAATGAAAGCTAATTTTTTATTTTTATTTTTTAAAAAAACACTATGAGTGCCAAGATTATCCATATTTATTAAATATCAATGGAAATTAAAATATATTTAAAATATATGTTAAATATGAGTACAAAGATAAATATAAATGCATAATCTAAAAAATCGAGAATGAAGACAAAAATTGCTTTACCCTGTATTTAGATCCCTAATAAACACTCCTTAAGATTTTTTATCTAATAATTAATCATTTCTAAAATAACACTGCGTTTTATGATTCTCACTAAAATAGAAAAAAATTACTAAAAAGAGGTGATTAAAGTTGTGAGAAAAAGTTACTTTCCATATAAACTGGCTTGACTAGGGATGATAAATTAACTCAAAACTGTCAGGTTCCAATCTAACCTGATCTTATAAGATTGTATTTTTTTTTTTTGAAAAAATGGATTTCGAGTTTGGTCGAGTTAGTTTTATTTTTTTTAACGATGGATTTAGGTCGAAGGTAGGTTTATATGAAACCCGACCTAACCTAGGATATTTGCCAAAATATCTTTGAGTGTATGTGTGTATATATATATATATATGTAATTTTTTTTTAAGGTTTCCTATTTTTTTCTGCCTCCAATTTGTCTAACTCTAACCTTGTCTCAACTTTTCAAACTTTTTTTCATCCACCTTACTTACCTCATTTATTCCTCTCGTAGCTTCCATCTATTCCCTTCCTCCATTTCAACAAAGAAAGTAGTGACAAAAGAAGAAAGTAGTGACAAAACAAGAAAGTCAAGCTTTCAAGCAACAAAGCCAGATTTAGATTCTATAGTAGCTCTTATTGAGTTGCCTCTCATCGAGCAAGAAAGAAAAAGTAGTCGCCACCTTCAACCTAGGTACTTACTTTTAACGTTGATTCCATGTTTCTTTATATACGAAATTGCTTTTATTTTGTTGGGATTTCAGTCCCTTTCTTATAGATCTATTGCTTCTATCCACCCAATAGATATATTGACATATCTCTAATAGATTTAAAATAAGGGGGTTACCACTTACCAAAAGCTTTACGGTTAATCTTTTTCTCTTTCTTTCTCATAATTTTTTAAAATGTTCTTTATTTAAGGTTTACCTGCAAATTGAACTTTAAAAAATTTCTACAAAATAATAAAAATTTGATGTTTTATCATGTAGGTTTTAGTAAATGATGTTTTAAAATAATAAAATTTTTCTCATTTAGGCTTTAGTAATTATTAAAGAATAAAAATTTATGTTATGTCATGTAGGCTTTAGTAATTCAAGAAATTTTTTCTCAAACCCTTCCAACACGCAACATCATAAAATCTAATTCAATAGCTTAGGTTAAAACATGATGGTACGTCCATTTTCAATGAAGGGGTGATGATGCTAAGGTACTCTCATGGAGTCTAAACCTTAGATTATTTGACAAAAAAAAGTCATTCAACTTTAGGTGATATTGTACTATGCAAAATTAAACCAAATCATGGTTTATATGTAGGCTTCCTTTGATGGGATTTTGAAATTAATAATGAGACTTTGATTTAGACATTTAAAGACTATTTTTACGTAATAATTTTATTCCCTTGTAAACTATTAATTGAGTGTGGTTGTATAAATCAAATTTAAAACTCAAATAATACTCCATCTTTACTATTATTAGGTTTGAGTAATTTGATGGATTTGTTTTATTCAATGGTTGAAATTGGTTTCGTTTGTACTATATGGTTGAAATCAGCTCTATATTTTTTGTCAACAAACAAATTTTTAAATAAATTTAATAGCTTAAAATTTATTTGATATATGTAGAATAAATTTATAAATTGTAATTTATTATTTTTATTTTGGTTAAATGCTAATTGCTTATTGATTATGACATTTTAACTTGTACATGAAGACTTAAACACTGCACTTGATAATTATGCCATGAGCAAGAATGCAGTTTGAAGGCTTTTTAGAAAAAAAAAAAAAAAAACACCCTTTTAAGGCATTCATGGGAGTTAAAATGGGTGGATTTGATTTCTAACTTTTTTTTTTATAAAGAAAGTAATAACTCGAATATAAAAATTATAAACGTTGATATTTAAATTATAAATTTGTTAAATGTCGTTTCTTAAATACAACTATATCAGTAGAAGTTAAACCTTATGTTTGCTTTGAACTTTAATAGGATTAGCCAATTAGAGGAATTTGAAAAATGAAGAGATCAATAGTATTTTTCTATAAATTTTTTAAATAGGACACTACCTTGAAATTTCAATTAATGATTATTTAGGTGAATGCCCAAAATGTTGTAACTCTATCTTTCCTTTTTTTCTTTTTTTTTTCTTTTATTCTCAACTCTCAAACTGGTTTTGTGTCTAAGATCACAAAAAAACGATGTTCATGAGGCATTTAAGATCACTATGGTTTTAATGTTGCTTGTTCTTTCCTTCGAATCCTGGAAACAAACATCAAAAGAAGAGAATTTAGTTTATTATCTTTTGACACTTTTGACAGTATTTAAAAAAAAAATTCGATGAGGTTATAAAAGAATATAATATTGCTTTATTATCTTTATTTTATCTAATATAATAATATAAATTTAAAAGTAATTTTCAAGTTTAGAATTTAAGTTTGAATATGATTCTTTTAGTTTGTTTAGAGAGACAACAACATTGGCATAGATTATTTCCTTCTCAATGTTTCAAAGGGTGTATTTTCCCTTTTCTAAAGATATTCCATTCTTTACCACCAAGTTCTTGCACTTGATGCAGCCCGTCCTCTCTTTAAGAAATGGATTTAATTATTTGGCAAGTTAAATCAAACTTTTGTTAATATATGTATATATATATATATATATATATATATAATAGTTTAAATATATTATTAAACTAAATTTAAATAAAATTATAAATTATTTAGATTTGAATTTTATCACACATCCAAACTCATTTTTTAAGCCAATTACATCGTGATACTTAATTTCAACATCATCATTTTATTTATATTTAAATATATATTTTAATTATAAATTTTTAATTTTATTATTATAATAATTAATTTCATTACCATTATTTTTTTTAATTTAATTGAAACAAATTTCACCATCTATCAAAATAAATACTTAATAAAAACACAAATAACTTGAAATTGGATAAACATGTTTCGGCTGAGCTTTGGATAAAATTTTATAAGTCTCAAATGATTTAATTAGACTGGTGAGAATAGTTTATTATTGAATAAATAATTTTTAAAATTTAAATATTACTATAAAATATATAATATTTAAATAATAAATTTAAAATACACTTACTTAAATGAGCTTCAACGAGTAGTTACATTTTGGGGCTTTTAAAATACATTGAACCCTTAATAATTCTCATGGGACTGGACTAAGCTCAAGCTAAAAAGACATAAGCAAAGATTGATCAAAGGGCCCAGCTCGTGGACCTAGCCCAAACCTATGAGTGTTAATGGCTAATAGGCACCAGAGATGTCAATATTATTTTTTATCCTAATGAAATGGAAATATGTATTAAATTTGAGGATGAAGACGGTATGGTTTTAAATTTTTTATTAGAAATAATGATGGATAATATAGTACTCATCTTATATTTATATTATATATTTTTATATATTTAATAAATTAATTTTTAATAATATAAAGTTTATTTTAAATTAATTAGAATGAATATATTTGTATTTAAAAAATATATAAATGTGAAGATAAAAATAAAAAAATAAATTTTACTTTTATTTTTTAAAAGAATTACAGGTATAATAATTACTCATATTCAATAAATAATTATGAAAATAAATATAAATTTAAAATAAACATTGAATATAAGTGTAACGATAAATATAATATTAAAAATTATGGATGAAGATAGAAATATTTCATCAACTTCGTACCCAATCCGTTAACAGATCTAACAGACAGTCCTAGAATTATTTATCCAATAATTAATAATTTAAAAAACGCTGGGTGATTCCCTTTAAAATTAAAAAAAATAAAATAAAATAACAATGACAAAAAGTTACTTTCCTTACAAAATGACCTGGTACCGGTAGTCTGCCGCTAGAATAACCTCGAAAACATAAAAAATGACTGACTCTTTTTAACCAACCCCCTTTCGTGCCTAAAACTTTAACACGAAAATAACCGCGAAAATCCCAAAGTGGTAAAATCATTTTGGCGCCGAAAATATATTCGATACAACACTAAAACCCTCCCAAATCCCTTATTCTCCTCTATTTTTACCCCCTAAAAGTCCCTCCCTTTCTTTATCTCTCTCTAATTTTCTTCTCCTACTGGGTGAAGATAATCAGATATGGAGGCCATGGATATAGACTCGGTAAAAGATAAGAAGGTTCAACAAATCCAATCGGCCCTGGATAACATCTATCGTTAAGTTGCTCCCTAACGACCTTGATTCTTGTCTCCGGTCAGATACTGTTTGTCGAATGGTAACTGCGACTGGGTTTCCCGTTTCTACCCTGATCAGCTCAGGTGATCAATTTGAAGAATCTAAGCCCGTTAGAACCCAAGTGAAGGAGGAGCCTTTTTTGAAAGTGAAGGAAGAGCCTGATTTGGGGATTGAAAGCACTGTTTTGATGAAAGAAAATAAGGAGATTAAACTGAAGAAAGAGCTTGATTTAGGGATTGAAAGCAAAGTTTTCATGAAAGAAAATAAAGAGATTAAAGTAAATGAAGAGCCTGGTTTGGGGTTTGAGAATGATGTCCCAGTGATGGAAGAAATGGCTTCGGATATCAGAGAGGAACCCAAAGCCAAGAATGAAGATTCAAAGTCAAGGATGTCTTTTGTTGAATTTCTTCAGTTAATAAATACTAAGGTTCAATCTCTTGATACTCTCAAAACCGGGATAAAAAAAAGAGATTGTTGATTCTGTTTATGCTGCTCTGGTCAAGGCCTCTGAAATTGTAGAGATGAAATCAAATAATCAGAACCTTCCATTATTGAAAAAGGAACCTGATTTTTAGTGTTCTAAAGGGTTGTAAAACCCGCTTGATGTAAAGAAATAAGCTTTTGAAGAGAGGAGAGTGAAAGATGTTCTGGTGGAAGATGGGGATTTCACTGAAGAACTTGGTTGGTACTTGGTTGGAAGGACAATAGTTAATGCAGTTTCAACTTTCAACAACCAAAGGGAAGAACAAGTTGTTGGATAATGAGATTGTTTACTTCACTTTCCCTTCTCCAGCAGCCAGTTGCAAGCTTTAATTTATTGTTCGCTTCTCAACGAAGCACTAAGGGGAGGTTAGTCTATTTCACCTTCACTTAATTGATAGTATTTTTTCTGGGGTATTTTTTTTTTTATAATTTTTGTTATTGAATTTTAGATTGGTCGGCTTCCAATGGATTAGGCAAAATGGGTAAATCCCCTTGTATATTCTAACAAGGTTAAAGTTCTTGGTGGGTGTACAGCTGCTCCAACAACACTTAGTAGTATGCAAGCAATCATGCTATTTTTAAGGTAAAAGTTTTAGATTTTTTTTTTAACTAAATGAATATTTGTTTTAGCTTAAATCTGGAGTCTTTGAGGGTATATTGACCCTTTTTTGTCATGTTTGGCAGCTTTTAGATTCACACTTCTATAGTTACAGAGGGTGATAAGTCTTCCTGGATGTTTGATGCACCCTGGAACATGGAGTCAATGCTTAATCCTCTGTTTAATCTATTTAAACACCTAAAAATAAAACCATATCAGAAGGTATTCTCCCAATCCTCTGGTTTGGTGAAAGCCAAACTCTAGATGAGGCTACTTGTTACTGTGGGCCTTGCTATAACATTATTGTGGTTTTTCATGTACTATATATGCTGTTGTTTTTGGTGCTTCGCATCAGGCTGACTTCACTTCAGAGGAACTGAATTATGGGAAGTTTATTCTCCATATGGAAGTACGTTTAATTTCTCCATGACTTTTCATATTAGTAAATTGTTAAGCCTTAATTTTATCACTGATGTTTAAATTATTGGCATAGCAAGTTTCTGTACCTATAATTTCTCCATAACTTTTCATATTATTCGTAGTAATTGCACCTATACTGATAAGATGGGATATAGTGTATAAAGAGTTTGGCTAGGACTGGTCATAAAGCACTAATGATATCCTGTAGATATAATGACAAATTCAATATGTTGGCAGGTTCAATGAATTTGGGGTTGATGGCTGGCCTGCAGCGAAGGAGTTGATACCAAAGCTTGATCTTGCTAAGAAACATATATCTTCTCAACTCCATATGAATTTGCCAGATATTGAAGTAAGATATTATTATTCTCTCTAAATAACTTGTAATGACTTTTCTTTCTTATTTTGATTTATTAAGTTCTTGTCAATATGATTTATCTTTTTCATATTGCTCTAGTTGTACTTTCTTTTCTGACATGGATACTTTTTTACACAGGTTAGACAATTAGTTGCAACTGCCATTGCCTTAAAGGGACTTGGTGCTATTCTATTTGTATTTGGCCATGGCTTTGGAGCCTTCCTCCTGGTAAGAATTTTATTTCTTTTGGGTGATTTTTTTGATTACATTTGAAATGTAAAAGGAAGTTTATATTTGAACATGCACCTACCATTTTCTTCTGCTTCTACTTTTATGTCTCATTTAATTGTCCTTTTTTTTGCCATAGTTTGTCTACTTGCTGGTTAGCACTCCTATTCTCTATGATTTTTACAACTATGGTCCCAAAGAGCCTCGGTACTCTGTTCTGCTCAGTGATTTCTTGCAGGTATGTACAAATGCATATCTAAAGTGTTTACAGGCATTTTGATGTGAGAACATCATTGATTTTTCTTTTTTCTTTTTAATCAATGGCACTGTGTTGCACAATGTGGTGCATTAATTTTCTTCTGGGGGATGAAGAACTCGATACCAAAGAGGCAACTAAAGATGAAGGTCCCAAAGCCAAAAGCTGCTTAGATATATTGAAAAAGGTAGATGGTGAAGATTGGAAAGTTCTTCAACGCTTCATATAGAAATGATGTCAAGTAGTTGCTGTGCAACACCAGATAATAATTTGCAGATCTAGTCAAATACTGATTGTTTCCAAATTTTAGGAGTTGCTAAGTTTTTATTGTTCTTTATTCACTGAAACATTTGAAAACTCGATTCGTTTTCCCCTTGTTTATTTTCTGTGACAATATGATTTTGAGTTCAAAGTTTAGGGTTTTAATGAATTCTTCTATTTGCTAGTTTAGACTCCAAATGGCTTATGATAGATTTTATAGTGCTGGAATCATGCCTGCCCTTTATGACAGCAATACCTTCGGCACTCATTAATGTTTCATGCAGCCATTCATGTATGCAATAATGAAGAAAGAAAGATTATAAGTTCAGGAGATAGGGCGCATTCACAGAGGATACGAAAATATCAGGATCATCGGTTTCAGTTTTGATTATTCTTTTCCATTATTGACCTTAGATTATGATTTTTGCACCTTACCTTTATTTACGTATTGTTTCCACTTCCAGTCATGAAGTTGCTATGGTGAATGTAAATTGTCTGAGTCATGTTTTTATGCCTGGAATAGTTTAACATTAGTATTACAAACTAGAACTCCAAGAATACGATGCCTGCAATAAATTTTTTTTTTTTGTATTTGAGGCAATTAATATTTGAATTTTAATTATTAAAATTCAAAATTTAGGACTCTAATAACAAACCATAAATACAATACTAAAGATTTTTGGACCATAAATACAATACTGAAGATTTACAAAATATTTTAATTCAAGCTGTGATTTAAGTTAAAAAAAGAAAAAATACAGCTTTCCCTTCACATCATGCCAGCCCATTTCTTCTGGGCTCTTACCCAAAAATAAGGCTCTGACTTTTGATGGAACAAAGCTAACAAAGCCTCAACGCACCGTTTCTCGTTTTATCCTTCACAAACAAACGAATTTGGTGATCGTCGCCGTGGGTTCTCTACTGAAAGTGAAAAACCAAGAAGAAAAGGGACAGAAAAAGAAGTGAAGAAGAAATAACAAAGCTGGAATTTCTTCAAAATTCAAGAACTAGCTCATCCCTTTTAGCTTCTCATTATGGTGAAACTAGAAAAACCTAGTTTCATTGAAATTTTTTTTAATATATATAATAATTTTTTAATTTTCATTTTCGTTTTTGCAGGATTATTTGAAAACGGTTATTCCTTCTCAACTCCTCCTGGTTCGTGGCTCCAATCTCGTCATCATCAACCCCGGTACTTCCTTTTTCCTTTCTCTTTTTTTTTTTTTAACAAAATTTCCCAAAATAAAAAAAAAAACCAAAATTAATGAACTAATTTGTTTGCAATTTGCTTAGGCGCTGCAAATGTAAGAGTAGGGTTGGCAAAGGAAGAAGCTTCATTGATGAATGTTTTGCTAATATTGATGTTGGTGAAATTTGTTTATGCCCATTAGCTTAAAGGGTTCATCTAAAACTTTCTATCTCAGATTAAAATAAAGATATCTTACAATTTTTTTTTTCATGTTGGTGATGTCATTTTTATTTACTTTTCCTTTTCCAGGATATATCAAGATGCCTTCTTTGGACTCAGAGGCATCATCAGACATGGCCCCAAATTCGTACTGACATTTTGACAAAGCCTATAGATCTATTGATGCTGAACAGGCTAAAAGAGTCCTATTGTGAAATCCAGGTGAATCATTTGGCTCCTGGACCTGGTACTCTTTGGTTTCTTTGCTGTGGAAACACTCTTATTGTAATTTTCTATGTATCGTTGCATAGGAGGGTGAACTTGATGCTGTAGCTATAGTTCATTCTTATGAGGATGCCATGCCTGCTGGATCTCATAAGACAAGGCTAACTGCTCTCAATGTACGTTTTCAAATGAATTCAGATATCATTTCCTTTATTTTCTTGAAGGATTTACATTTGATGGTTTGTTTTAAATAAGTTCCTCCAATGGGTTTGTTGTATCCAACACTTTTAATTCCTGATTTGTATTCTCCACCACCTCGTTCTTGGTTGATAATAATTGTCCAAGTTATTGCTCTTGCTGTTGGTTAGTATACCTGTCCAAGTCTTGAATTATTTCCTTTAGCACTGTTTTGATGGTGTGCTTATCCAGGTTTCATGACTATGAAGATACGCTTGAAGAAACATGGCATATTGAATTCCCAAGAAGATCTGACATGCCAGATGGTCTATATCCTGGCATTAATGTTGGTTTACCAATGTGGGATAACTACCCATTTTTTTCAATGAAACAAAGAAAGAAGAGAAGTTGGTCTGGCAGAAGCGATAACCAGTAGCATTCTTTTTAACTGGTAGGTTTGCATACTGCTAATTAAGCATGTTCTAATAAGCTATAATGCTATCCGTATCTAACCATTTGGTTCTTTTTGATTGGAAGTCGCATAGACCTGCAAAGAAAATTGTTCTGTAGCGTACAATTGGTGAGTTTCTTTGGAAGTGTAGACACATGAGATGCTTTTATTTTTTAATAATTGAGCTTGTAACTTGGTTTGTGCTTCAGATTGGTGGAGTGGCTTTAACTGGTGGACTATTTCCTGCTGTGGAGGAGACGTTGGTTTCTCTCTCTCTCTCTCTCCCCAATTTGTTATCCTCCTACTTTAAGCATATATGATTCTAGCTAACATTATCTGCAGTTAATGTATTCTACAAAGACATGTTGCATGAAAAAATTAAACTGTCTTTTTTTGAAATCCAGCATTCTAGCTAACTATTAGGATCCTAACCTATAAAAGTAGGTGTGTTTTACTGCTAATTTGAAGCATACATCATAAAGTATCTGGCTGGAAGAGTACTAAGTTGGGTTAGTTCAAATGCCTAGTTCTCTCTATTGGCAGTGTTGACTCAGAATGGCTTAAGTGCATTGATTGCCAAGAAAATAGTAATAAGTGTCTCCCAGATCACCTTGTGTTTGACATTTCTTTGTCCTCGTGGAAATTTTGGTTACTGGATTCTTACTCTGTTTTTTAGTAATTCATCATCTCAAGAGTTATGAGAACCATATAAATGCTGGGTTCTTTTATGCTCTGTTATTTCTGGCTTAGAACTGCTCCGGAATGCTTATACTTTGTACATCCATTCTTTTTTTCATTTTTTATCTATTACCCTGATTAGCGGAGAAACTTACAAGAAACATATTGAGATCTAGTTTTTACTATTCTCCAGGATAATAGACTATTTCTTAGTGCTATTTAAAATGCATTGGTCCTAAGTTAGTTCCTGTAGGTGATTCTGACACCCATATCATCCTTGTCTGTTCTTTTATATTTGTGCAGATCTTACATGCCATTCCTTCAACTGAAGTAATTGATACTGTTGAGGTAAGTCTGCTGAATTTTAATCTTCATTATAAAGGTGTTATGCCTCTCTTTTTTGCCTGTTTGTAGCCACTTCAATGTGGTTAGAGTTCGGGCATATTATCTATTGTGATATTTAGATGGACTTAATTTTAATATTGAATATATAAGTAATAATTCCTGCTCAATGCAATATGGTGCTCTATACATAGCTATTGGGGTCAAAAAAAGTGTATATCGTCAGTGATATGTAGATTAACTAAATTTTTATATACTGTAACTGAAAAATAAATATAAAATCTTTTATGTCCAACATTATTTCATGATTAATTTAAGTTAGTTTTACACTTGAATTAGGTTCTAGGGTGTTTGTGGTTTTCTGTTCCTTATAATTTGTCTCTTTATTTGTTTGAGCATGGATGTTGATTTTGGTATTCTTGGATTCCCTTCTTGTGAAATAGGTTTTGCAATCGAGAACAAATCCAACTTTTGTGTCTTGGAAGGGCGGAGCTGTAAGTGATCTCCCATCCTTTTTCTTTTCCATGTTCGATATTCTTTTGTGTCTGGTACAATGAAAGCACATTTGCTTAGTGCATTTTGCTTATGCAATATCTTCATGGGATGAAATTTTGCTTATCTTGACGTAGATTTCCTTAGATTACTTCAAATGTATTTCTTATGTTTATTTTATCCTGTTTATACAGATCCTCGAAGTTTTAGATTTTGGTCGAGATGCTTGGATACATCGAGAGGACTGGATCCGCAATGGGATTCACATTGGGAGTGGCAGAAAATGTTAAGGATTCTTATTCCATCAAGCACAGTCCGTGTGTTACATAAACTCCTAGAAGACGGTGGATAGGAGGACTTCTCTAAGTAATGTTCATCTTCAAGCTTGAAGATAACATTTTTGTTGGAAACCTGTTAGTAAACAATAATTAAATTTGAGAAAATTATAATAGATTTCCATTCGCAGGTATTTGATATTTTTCTTAACAAAGAGACCAACAGAACTGCATGCATGAGATTCCAAGTAAAGGTAAGGCAGATGAAAACCAAGCTTTCACTTCCTTGCGATCGAATCTGCTTCTTTGGCTTCCTTCCCTTTGAACCATTGCAGAAAATAAAAAAGGTATTGATACCTCTAAGCTTAAGAAATGAAGCGAATGGGAATTCTAAGGAATCACAAAATTTGGAGTATTTTTTCAATCACCTAAAGTTTTGAAAACAAATCATTTTATTAATCTAACTAATTGTTAATTAACAAATTCAAATGATAATTTAACCGAAACTATTACATAATCAAACGATTTTTATGTACTTCAATTAGGTTTCACAAATTTTTTTTTTGTACTTAAAATTTTATCAAAAATAATTACATCATCTTTTATAAACTTAAAAAAAATAACATATTCATACTAAAATTTTAAAATCGACTCACAAACAAAATGATAATAATAAAATAATAATAATAAATAAGATAAAATATTAATTATAGTAAATAAGATACATAACAATAATAAAAATATAACACTTGGTTTAAATTTCAATATGATTGAAATCTCTTATGGTAACACCTATTTTAAATAAAGTTGATGAGCCATGTCGGGTGATGGTTTCCAAGTTTATTGAGTGGAATAAGTGTCCCAAATCCAATCTATTCTAATTCTACAAAACAAGTGAAGACCGAAGAGGGAAAGCAAAATTATTATAAAAGCATAAAAAAATCTCTTGAAAATACTACTTTGCAAGGCATTCATTTACATATACATTATTTTTTTTTTTATGGCTAAAGCACAAAACTTCGCCTTTTAATTAGGTGGCTTAAACACGTTGTAATGGACATTTTAGACTTAAAACTGAAAAGCTAAGTGACGATGATAATAAAAGAGAAGGAACATACCTTGTTCATCAGAATCGTCGCTTTTTCCGGCAAACTTGAAATGGCTATGATCTTTAACTATCAGGAGCCATGGCATCTGTCTGACTTTTATAAAGTGCAATTAGCCTTTTGCTACTGACGCTAGGAGGACTATCGAGGTAAGGAGGTTTTACACATTCCCAAGGGACAACATAATTGCACGTTGACTCTGCACAATCAAGAGCCTAATCTTCACAGGGTTTACAAATTACAACATTTATGACATGCAGGATACTAATAAGTTTTCTCCACAAAAGAGAGAGGGTGTGGGTGCAGATCCTTTTCTTTGTATGTGCTTCCTGGTTTAATAAATCGGTACCTTCCAATAACACATTCAGGATGAGCAGAAGTCTCACATGTAGCACAATGATAAACCAAAGATTTGGATCTCTTTCTTGTTCACAGATGTCACAATAATGATATTCTGAATAATCATTACCCTCGTGATAAGTGAGTGCAAGTGGATGTTCATCACACTCGTGTCTGGTTGTAAGCGGTAGATTTGAACAATCACTCAAATTGAAATTGCAACGCTTACATCTAAATAGGCCGCTGATCCACGTAACACCGCAAGCATTGCACCGTCCTCTATAATTACGATTGGAGAAGAGAGGGTGTTCATGTGCTTGATGTATGATCCTATAATCAACAATTGCACATCGAAGACAATAGTGATCATTAAATGCATTACATTTATAGGAAAAGCCATTACACTCAAAACTATAAAATCTACATTTGAAAATGTAGCCGATAGCAATGACGAGAGACTGCTATGAGACCACAATTGCTTCTTCCTAGTTGGTAATTTACTACAAGTTTTGTGAAGAAAGAAATCACACTGGGATGAACAATAGTAAAATGAATTTGAGATGAGTAGCGTGCAACCATCACAACATTTATCATTCTCCGTGATATTATCGTCACTTAATATTAGGTTATGTGCATTGTTTTAACAGTTTTGTGTCCATTTGACAAATTTGAAAACGAAACAAAAAAAAAAATTGAAGTCACCAATAATCTTTTTTGGTTATGTGTGATTTGTCACATATTAAAATATATATTTTTAATAAAATCTTAAAATTAAAATTTATTAAAAAGATAATTTTATAATCTGCAAAATAACCTAGGTTCGAGAGTCAGTTACGTGTGGAGAAAGATTAGCACCCTCACAACGCTCGTTTAAAACGATACCAATTAATTATGTGTTACCATTAATTTTGATAAAAATAGTTTTAATTTTGGTATTTGAAAAATAATTTCCTTAATGTTTCTTATTTATTGAAATTTTGATTTTTTTAATATCTTTTATTATTTATTGTTTTATTTTTATTCAAGAAAAATAAATTAGAACTCTTATATTAAAATACTTCTTAAAATGTTCTAGTCTATTGGTAACATTAAAATAACTTTTTCTTATATAGAGATTTTTTAGGCATCACTTCTCGAAATATTTTAAATGTTATTCTTGAAAACTCAGATTTACTTTTCGTGTAAAAACTATATTGTGCATGTAATTCAAAATGCTAATATGTTGATACACATTTTATTTCCTTCTTTACAAATTTTATTGATTTTTTGATTTGATTTTTTTATTTAAATTTTTGAAGAAAATAGGAAATTTTATTATATTCAAGATTTTCTATAAATATTACAATACACTGATAATATTTTTTAAAAAATTTTTCTTACCTAAGGATTTTGTAAAGCATCACTACTCGAAATACTTTTAGACTCTCATCTTCGAATAAATTTTCCTTTTTCCTTATCTATAATTACTATTTTTTACAAATTAATTAATTTTTATTTACTATTTTGTAACAAAAAAGGAAAATTTTTGTTGTATTGAAAATTTTTTATAAATACTTTAATACGATGGTAGCATTTAAAAAAAAATCTTCTCATCTAGAGATTTCATAGGTATTACTACTCTGAGTACTTTTAAATCTTATCGTTGGATAAAAATTTTTTTTTTTACATTTTTTTTTATTTTATAAGCTTTATTTTAAAATTAACAAAATTATCAAAAAAATTATTATATTTCATCATTTATTTTTATTATTTGATTAATTATTTATTACAACAAAAATTTATTCTAACAAATTTAAATATTTTAACATACATAAATACAAATAATAAAATTTAAAATAATAAAAATAATATTTTAAAAAAAGTAAAAAATAAAAAAATTTTACTTGAACCAGACCTATCAACGGTCAGGTCAACGTCGGTCTGGGTGGGCCAATCAGTTGTAATCTAGACTGGTTTAATTGGATCGATCTAAGTTGAGGGAAAATCGAGTCATGAGTTGGGTGCTCAGACCTCGGGTTGGGCCAAGGCTGATGCACGGATCCTCTTAAGTTTAAAACCGTGTCATTTTGCTTATGTCTAAATGGCATTGTTTTGAAGGCTTATTTAAAGGCCAAATTAGATTTTTTTATTTTTTTTATTTTTTTCCTTTTTTTTCTCTTTCTTCCTCGCAAACACTCTCACTTTCTCTTTAAAGCCCAAAACCTGACGACCGTTTTGCCATGCCATCCGCTTATCACCGTCATCATCCGTCATCCGTTAATCATCGAAAAAACCCAAAGTCACCAAAAATCTTTCCCCCAACCTTTTAAACAAAGATCTGAGCCTAGTTTTGCAAGAAATGACCTTGAACTGTGTAGATCTAGCTTGAAAGATTCGATCAAAATTATTTTTATTTTTTTGTCTCTATTTTTTTTTTTGCACTGAGATCTCGTTCCAAGGATTGTGTTTTTGTTCTTTTTTTGTGGTGTTTGAATTTTTTTTTTTTACAAAAATTTTTTTGGGTAGTGAGTTTTTTTTTTTTAAATCTGGGTTTTTTTTTTTTGCAGGGCTTCTTGGTTTTTATTGTAGGGTTCCTCCCATTTGCTATGATTTTGGTGTCTCTATTTATAGAGCAAAAAGGAAAGACCAAAATCCCAAAAAATCTAGGATTTTGGCTACCTAGGATTAGAGTGGCTATCAACTATCAAAGTGGTTATCGGTGGCTATTAGGGTTGTTGGCAATGCGGCTGTAGGCGACTATCAGAGCCACTGGTAGTGCAGCTGCTAGCAGTCGACAGAAAGGTGCTAATAAAAGAAAGAAAGAAAAAGAAAAAAAAGAAAAAAATAATAAATAAAATGGTGTTTATAGCTACCCCTATTTGCTTATTTTTTAGAATCAGAAATAAGGTAAAGACAATCAGACAACTATTTTATTCAAAAAGAAGAAACATTGAGCACAAAATCTTTTTTTTTTTGGTTGAAAATTTAAAATGCTCTTCTAACCAGAGGCTCAATTTTTTTTTTGAAAATTTAAAAGGGCTTCTTTCAGCAGAGGCTTTACTACTTTTGAATATTTAAAAATATTCTATTCGAAAGACTTACGAATCTTGATAATAAATGCTCATCTAAGTAAAGGCTTAATAACTTTTTAAAAAAATTCATCTTGAAAAAGCTCTTCTAAGCAGAGGCTTAACAACTTAAAAAAAATCATCTTGAAAAAGCTTCTCTAAGTGAAGGCTCAACAACTTTTAAAATTTCATCTTAAAAAAAACTCCTCTTAGCAGAAGCTCAATAACTTTAAAAATTCATCTTGAAAATGGCTCTTTTAAGCAGAGGTTCAACAACTTTAAATATTTCATCTTGAGAAAAGCTCTTCTAAGCAGAGGCTCAATAACTTTTAAGATTTCATCCTGAAAAAGCTCCTTTGAGCAAAGGCTTAACAACTTAAAAAATTCATCTTGAATAAGGTTCCTCTAAGTAGGGCTCAACAATTTTAAAGATTCTCATTTTTTCCTGAAACTGATTTTTCATCTTTAAACAACTAAATTCCTTTCTTTTGAAATCTTTTGTTTGATTATTATCTTTACCCGAAAACCAAAATTTTATTTTTACCAAGGAATGAAAAATCTTTGTCCTTGTTATAACTGTTCATGGATGCAAATGCTAAATGCTCTAAATGCAATGTATGTAATGCAATCAAAATTATTCATTTCCAATTGTGATAAAAAAACTCTCGAAATTTCTCGTATTTTGCTTTTTTTATCAAAATTTCCAACAATCATCATATGACCAATTTGTTCTTGACCATTTTATTTTTTCAACAATATTTTTCTTTTTTAAAAGTCTACAACATCAATGTCTTATCATGCTTTTCTCATCCTTTTTCATCTGCCTTTGTCAACTTTTAAAAAGTAATACTAAGATTTTTTGTTTTTGTTTTTTCATTATTTTAAGTTCAAGACAAACAAAATGCAATCACACATTTCTCTTA